CAGGATCCTCAATATCTAGCAGAGTGCCTGGCAGATAGTAAGAACTCAGTATGTGTTACTCAGTATGTGAATGAACAGTGAGTACCATCTGGCTAGTGGGAGAGGGTGATTGGATTTAGGAACTGGCATTATTTAGAGATCAATTCTCTCCCAAGGATGATCCCACCTACACCTTTCTCAGAGCTCCCCACTGAATTGGAAGTCCTTTTTCCTGGCTGACAGTTGCTGGGAATTTACTATATATATATTTTTTTACTTCTATTTTTCAATTCTTTAATGTGTCTTGATTCTTGCATTTCAAACTTTGTTTCAGGGCTATCCAGCAAGAAACAATACATTTTAATATTGCTGTTATATTTAGTTTTCCCGTAGAAAAGCTTTTCTGACATGTAAAACCAGAGGCCCATTCTAAGTTTGGAAAGCAATCACCACCAACTGATAGGACACATGCTTATACAGATGTATAAGACACTAAAAATCTGAGCTTGCTTTAAGGACTGTGTATCTTAAAGCAGTAGTCTCCAAACCAAGGAGTACACAAGCTCATAAAGGGAAGCAATTTTTAATGGTATTTAGATTCTACTGAGTGTATTTATAAGTGATATTACATATTTATTTTAGAATGACAATATTTAAAATGTGCCTCCAAAATGACATCCTTTATGATGAAAACATTTTTGGTTGACAACTTAAAAATAATGAAAATTTTATTTTGGAGCAAACACTTTTAAAAAATCACTTAAGAATTACTGCCTTAAGCCGGGACCGGTTTGGCTCAATGGATAGAGCGTCGGCTTGGGGACTGAAGGGTCCCGGGTTCAATTCCGGTCAAGGGCATGTACCTTGGTTGCGGGCATATCCCCAGTAGGGGGTGTGCAAGAGGCAGCTGATCGATGACTCTCTCTCATCGATGTTTCTGGCTCTCTATCTCTCTCCCTTTCTCTCTGTACAAAAATCAATAAAATATATTTAAAAAAAAAAAAAAGAATTACTGCCTTAAGGCAGCACTTTTAATCTTCAACAGGGAAGATTATATGGAACTCGGAGTTAAATTCCAATTTAAAGCCATCATTTGCTTATTCTGTAAACACCTCAACAAAAACCATTTTTGTTCTTGTTTGGCATTTACTCCCTCTTGTCCAGCTGGGATCCAAGCACACAGAAATGAGTAATAATGGGAAAAGATTATGCCATCTTGAATGACTCATTCAAGGAACTTGATAAACTTTCAATTTAGGCTTGTTTTAGAAGAGACTTATTGGGTGAATGTTGGTTTGTTTAGCAAATGGCAATTGCAGCACAATAAAAAAAGGATGCACACATATCAGCAAAAAAGTATCACTGTGGACCTTTTACTCCAATGCATTTGTAATATTAGGAAAGATAAAGAAAAACACATTAAAAGATGTTAAAGTTATCATTGAGTCTTTAGCTATCCGTGATAAAATTTCCTTGCCTTCATCTAAGATACATTTTCTCCTGTGGATTCTTTTCTTGGCAGGTATTCATGCACAGGTGATGCCCAAAATCAACTTTGCAATTCTGTGTGACCTATTACATAATTTTTCTGTCCATAACTTTATTTTACATGTTTTATGACTTCTGGGCTTTTAGTTCAAGGCTAATTCAGTTTTTACTTCCTGCACATTATTGAAAATTCAGTTAAGATTGACAAAGGTTCACTTGTTATCCCATTAAAATGATGTGCCTTCCCACCGAGACCGGTTTGGCTCAGTGGTAGAGCGTCGGCCTGCGGACTGAAAGGTCCTGGGTTCGATTCCAGTCAAGGGCATGTACCTTGGTTGCGGGCACATCCCCGGTGGGGGGGTGTGCAAGAGGCAGCTGGTTGATGTTTCTCTCTCATCGACGTTTCTAGCTCTCTATCCCTCCTCTCTGTAAAAAATCAATAAAATATACTAAAAATATATATTTTTAAAAAATGATGTGCCTTCCCTATACAATCTCTTTTACCTCTTTTCCATTTCAGTTGCCCTGAAAGGTCACCTCTTTTTAAATAGCCACCTATGTAGGGGCACATTCTCTCCCCCTTCTCCCAGGTAACCTTAGAATAGAAAGCCATCTCTAGCTGACATTGAGTAGTGCAGGTCTCCTTAAACTTCTCACTCTGTCCAGTATTTTGGGTGATGGAACATCTCACAGTCCGTATTATGTGCACCTAGAGCAATAAATATTTGCTTGATGAAATTATTAACATGCAAATTCTTATATATTCTTTTGGGTAATTTGTGTTTCAAGTTCTGTATAAAATATATGACAGAATTGCACATGAAAAGGAAAAGCTCAGCAAGGAAAGGAATCTCTTATTTTCTGAATCTATTCCTGCCTTACTCTCCATATACCTTTGATGTCCCCAGAAGAAATCCTTGATATAAGTTTCAACTCACCTTTGTTCTTTATATCTTCTGTACCACTGCGAAGCATATAATAGACTTGTTCTTCCAAGTTATCAATAAAGATGTGGATAGAATTGGCTGTAAAATAAATCCCACAGGTTGTACCCAGTATAAAAAATTATGTAGGCAGAGACCGAACTCATTCCCTGACAAGTCTCCAGGGCTTAATACAGTGCCTGACACATAGTAAATGCATAATAAATAGTAAATGAATGAAAAATGAAGGAATGGATGGATAGGAACTTGACATCTTCTGATCATTATTTAGATATTATCTTCTAACCAGTCAAATTTACCTTGTAAATGTGTGATTTGGAACAGTATATTTCATAGTTTTTTTGAGAATGTTATTCAGGCTCTAAAGATTACCTGCATCCACTTCAAAGTGATTATGTAACTTTGGAAAAGGACTTAAGTTCTCTGCACTGGAACCCTCGTCAATCTGAATATCGGCTCCTTTCCCACAGGCTTCTTGGGAGAACATGCACAAAAAACACTCAACCTGGTTCATGGGAAGCATTTAATAAATCTAAGCTATCACTTCTCCTACTGCACATTTCTTTCATACTTAAAATTAAAGCATGGGTGTGTAGATATAAACAGTATTGGAATCATGATGTCAGGGACATATATAACCATCTCTCTGTTAGCCACACAATCACTTCATGTGAGTAGCTTTTCATGTGATGGGACCAGAAATGTAAAAATGTTGGTGCACATCAGGATTTAAAGTTGTAAATAACCAGACCAGTCACAGTATAGTAAAAGAAGGACTTTAGGTTTCTTTGGCGAAACAAAAGCAGGTATAAAAAGTTACAAAGTTTTTAGAATTTCATTCACAAAAAAACACACACACACAATCATTCACATTTTACACTATACATGGTATAATATAAATACAGGAAGTATTATGTGCATTGTAATAAAAGAGGGAAAAGTAAAACCTAGTAGGTCCACACACTGTAGCTCTGGAACACTCGACGGTGGACAAGTTAATGCAACAACCCGGGAACTTGCTCAAAGACCCTGTGAATGATTGCAGCCCCTGTGGTTCCTTCTCAGCCAAAGAAGGTTTCTTGAAAAGAATCAATGTCGGGGCTATTCCTTTGCTATTTGCATTTCATAAGTTGTCTACTTTTCTCAAGATCATTCTAACTGAAATTAGGGAAAGACTCCTAAATGCCTTCTTTTCATTACAGATTTTTATTTAAGCATTAAATTAAGTGGATAATATAGTTCAAAGTCATCTTCGGCAGTCAGTTTATTCAAATAAAGGGGAGAAAATGGGTGGGAAGTGATAGGAAGACATTTTAACACATACACCTAGCTACATACATATATATATATGCTCCTTGCTTAGAATTGGCAAACACTATTTGCTGAAAGCTATACACTTTTCCACTCTTTTCATAATAAACACTTGATGCATTCTATCCATCACATTATTGAATTAGGGACAAAGTACCTAAAATTATCTGGTTCCAAACTGTGTGAGAGAAGCACAAAGGCTAACACTGAAAAATAACTAGCACACTATGTCAATTTTCAGGTTTAGGGGAAAATAACATCCAATAAATTAAATCAGTATGGCTTACTTCATTTATTTATGTATGCTTCACAGCTGCAGCATTCATACATGAACATTCAAAACTTTATAAAAGATTAAAATGGTTATATATACAAAATTTCTTTCTTTGAATGTGTGTTGTTTTAACAATCCCCCACCCTCCAGAGCCCTGGGTCTATATCCATTTGAAATGTGTTGATCTGGAACCTTGCAAGTTAGTGTTATGAAAGTCACTAAAAAGTAGACCTGGTTGAGTTAATAATTAGCACTTCGACCCCTAAAAAATGCTCCTGATCAGAGAAAAGTCCTCCATTCAGGCCTTTCTTGTAAGTGAAGGAAAAGGAATGCAGCAAAGAAGAGTTCCACATTGCGATCCCTCATCCCATTAGGTCCCGTTAGCCAGGCTTCAGCAGCACGTGAAGCCAACTGCAGCTAAGGCTGAGATGGCGCAGTGTGGCCTACAAGACTTTGTGTTTGTTAGTTGTCCAGGAAAAGCCGTCCTCAGTCTTGCTGACAGGCAAAGGGCATGTGAAACCATTTCCAGCCTAAACAAACTACCCAAAGCAGCCAAACCAATGATTAAAGACCTTGGAGGCTCCATAATCATCATTAAATATGCCAGAACTCAGTGTGACTTCTTATTTTATATACAGGATTAAAATCAACATTAAATCATCTTATTTACATTGTCATTGGTGCTGAAATGGAGCTTTTTAAATAGTACAGTAGGCTGGTATACATTATAGAACGGTCTGCACTGGAGGCAAACAGAAGACTGAAGACCTCGGATAGGCTGCAAATGGTTTCTCTCTGCCCTTGTTCTCTTTCACATCATGTGCTTTCTTTATGAACGCCAATGCTTTCATTGAAGATGTTTTGGGAGCGCAGCAACCCCAACTGACTGGACGGTGGTCCATCAATCCAGACCAACGGATAATACTTCTCGAGGTGATAGGAAAGGCACAGGAAGTTAGGACTTTGGCTGAAATGATGAAAACACATGTTCGCCATTATAGGGATCAGCGCCTGGACTCCTGCCACCTCCGGCTCCAACGGTGATCATGTTTTGATGTATTTATTGAATTGTCCTTTGATGAGGAGGAATTTTTTAAGTATTTCTTAGAATAAGTCCTTTGGTATGCAGATGCTACATGGAAGGAAAAAGAAAGAAAGAAAGAAAACACAACAACATTACTTGCTCCATACCCTAAACTACCAGAACCGCAGCTGTAAAATGAAGGTGTCTAGTAGCTGTTATTGCATGGTTGTCCATTCCTTGTAAAGTACCACTTACGGTTCATGCAGGTAATTTTAGGCATAGCCCATCTTCCATTCCCTAGGCAACGAATAGTTGGAAGGTGGCGTTGAATGAAACCATCTTTGCAATGGTATCTAATCAGGGAGTTGATCTCATAGCGAGGTTTCATCTTTCCAAAGGTCTTGGCATTTTCTACAACAGGGGGCTGGCCGCAAGCAACTAAAGAAAAGTAAATCAAGTTATTTCCAAAGAAACTAAATATTTCCATCAGTATGAGTCTCTTTTTATCTCTTTCACTCCTTACGAAACCAATCTGGCACCATCATAAAAAGCTACCACTTAGAATTCACAAATTGAAAATATTCAAGAAAAAAAAGTAAATATTGAGGCTCTGGGCCTCGTTTGAAGGATTATGTCATCTTGGATTGCATTTTGTTAAAGAACCATGCGGCTAAATGGTCATTTTTCTGGAAAAATTCCAAATTAAAAAGTACCAGTTTCATGTGGCCAGGTGGTATTGTCTTCATCATTATCCCAAAGTTTTTATTTACTCCCCATCTTCACTTGGAGAAATGATGAATTTGTGACAATTAACTATTACTGTCACTTCCCTAAAAATACTTAAAATCTAAAATAACGTCATAGTTTCAAAATATGGGTAAAATATGGCCAAATATAGACTCTTAAGTATCAATAAAATATCTCTGGTTCTCTTTACCCTTTTTTTTTACTTCCCTATGAGGAATAAAAGGTAAAAATCAGGGCTTAATAATCCTGGTCACTTTCATAATTATCTTAAACTTTATTGAGAAGGGTAATGAAGATTAAATTTTGGAAAATTTATATTTTTTAATTTATAATAAAAATTCTAAATATCAACAAACTTAGCAATAGTAAATAATAAAAAAGCAACAAAAGTAAAGGAAACCTTACAATCTAAAACTCAAGAGGCTGGGCAAATTGATTGTTCTGACATGCTTTAAAAATTAACATTTGTAATTAGCAGAGAAAGTTGTCTTTAATGAAACACAATCCAAGCATCTCTTTTCATACACATAAGACATGTACTCAGATAGACATAACCTAAAAATAGATTATAAAAATCATACTCTATGTAACTAAGAAATTAGAAATATTTGTACATATATTTTATCTTTACAAATTCCTAAAGCAGAGATTTCTATAATAACATATCATTTTCAATTAATAAACTACACAGTGTATGTGGTTCCGTGATAACTCAATCTGGATACCTGCACTTCTTTTATTATACTATGAAAACCCTATACCAAGGTTCAGATACTATCAGATAGAATGAGACCAAACTGACATAGAAGGTGAAAAGTTATTAACTAGATAGTTCATTATACTTAATTTGGTGCTATGTTGACAAATTAGAAGTTATCTTTATAATTATGGGGAAAACAATGTAGAAATTTATTTAAAAACGAGTTATATATGAATTCTAATATGAAAGGTAAAATAGTTCAGTGCGTACGGTACTGGCAAGGACAGCAGATAAACTAGTAGATCCACACATATAAGCATGATATTTGACAGAAGCAACATGGCAAAGCAGTAAGGAAAAGTAGCTTTTGCATTTGGACAATTGGGTATTTTTATGGAAAAAGTTTACTTGGTTTCTTACCTCGGAGAATACAAGGAAAATCAATTCTAGATGGCTTAAATATATAAACATAAAACAAAAAACTATAAAACATTTAGAAAGCAACATAGAGTATCTTTGTGATTTTAGGGTAGTAAAGATTTCTTGAGATGAAAAATGGTTTAAACCATAAAAGGAAAATGTAATTAATTGAAGAATTCTGTTCATCAAAAAATGGGTAAGAGTAAACACAAGCTACAAATTGGGAGAAGGTATTTTCAAAATATCTAATTGTCAAGGTATTCATAATCAGAATATAAAAAGAACTCCTACAAATCAATTTATAAAACAGAAGCAACTGATTTTAAAAAATAAGTGAAAGACATGAACAGAACTTTTACAGAAGAAAATCTGTGAATGACCTATGAGTGTATGAAATAATATTAAGGGGAAAGTATCCAAGAAAATACAAATTAAAATCACAAGAAATAACATTTTATACCCACCAGACTGGCAAAAATTTCAAAGTCCAATAATACCAAATGTTGGCGAAGATGTGGAATAACAGGACCTTCACACTTTGCTGGTGGGATTGCAAACTGGTACAACCACTTTGGAAAAGAATTTGTCTGTTTTCTAGTAAATTTTATGGTACATATATCCTATGACTCAGCACTTCACTCCTGGAAAAATACCCTATGAAAGCTCACAAAAGTCTACCAGGAACAAGTTCAAAAATGCCCACAGAAACATTGCTTACAATAGCAAAAAATACTTACTATAGCCCAAATGTCCACTGACAGGAGAAATGATAAATACAATGTTATATAGTCATACAATGAAATACCGTACAGCAGCAAAAATGAAGAAATACAGCTACATGCATCAACATGGATAAAGATCACAAACATAATACTGAACCAAAAAAAGCAAGGCACAAAATACATACAGTATGATTTCACTTATATAAATTTTAAAAATTTGCAAAGTTAAATAATGTGTTGTTTACCCATACAAACATATGTGGTAATACCAAAAAGAAAAATAAGGAACTAAGTCATCATAGATGGTTGGAATTGGGGAGTAAATAGATGGGACTGGAAGATGCTACAGGATCTCCAGAGAACTGTGGATAGTATTCACCGAAGTGTTCTTTCAAATATAAATATACTTTGTGTATATATTATAATCCTCCTTTATGAGTATTTAATTGAAACTAGAACTATTTTGGTCTGTATGTTTTAAGATGCCTAAATTATCTGAAAGGAGAAATGAGTATGTTTTCATAAAAGTCTATAGACATTTATAAAATTCACATAGTTCCCCAGAGTACTAATTAACAAAGAATTAAATTCACATAAATAAAAAACAGACAATAGGGAGATAAAATACAAAGATCATTTTGTTTGTTTTTTCCTTTAACGAGGTAGAGCCAACATTTTATGAATCTCTTTCCCCAGTGGGACATGTAAATGGTGATGCTGGTTTTGTGAATCCTTTTTAATTTATAGGACAGTGGTTCTAACCTGGAGTCTTTTTCTTCCTCTCCCTCCACAGGGACGTTGCAATTTCTAGAGGCATTTTTAGACACAGAGCAGAGGAGAGGGGCGTGCAGTGGAGAGAATGCTACTGACCTTCAGTGAGTAGAAGGCAGAGGAGATGCCCAACATTCTGCAATGCCCAGAACAGCCCCTCACAACTAAGAATTATTGGACCCAAAATGTCAATAGTGCTGGTGTTGGGAAACCTTGCTACAGGAAAAATTAACATAGCAAATATCAGAATGTTAGCATCATAAAATGAAAAGCATGACTCCAGGGGCCATTTGGAGATCTGAGAATGCAAACATGACATTTGGATAAAGACAAACAGTTCATTAAAGACTTCTTACATTACAAGCAGGGAAAACAGACACTTGGTTTGCTATTTTCACAAGTCTCATTGCAGACATGCTGAGGTAATGCACAAAGGCAGGAAAGCGGCTCATGTGGAAAGGCTATCCACAACAAATTCTACTTTAGATCAGAGAAGAGCAAAGTAATCACGAATAATGGTTGAGTTTTATCTGAGCTTTGTGTATCTTAATGTTCTCTTTGTTCTAATAGCATTTCTCATTTTTGAAGTTTTCTAAAATATTTACACAGGGTGAATTTGTAGTTTTATTTTTATATTTAAAAAAATCAAATGGATTTTATATTTTGCATTTGTAATTTGAACTCTTACTTGAGGTCTAGCTCTAGAGACTAAATATTCATGCTTTAACACCATTGCAAACAGGTTAAAAATGTTTATGGAATTCCTATTTGTTTAAGGAAGAAGTCTATACAGAATGCCTTAGAAATTCACACATAGTGGTCAGTGATAAACACAACACATTTTTTAAAAATCAGCATTCTTAACTTTATCTGTTTAATGTCAACTAAGCAATTTTCCTCATGATGGGACTTATATTACAACTGTTTTTACTTTATTGAATCTAGAGGACATTCAACTATTTCATGGTTTATAAGCATACAACAAGCTTCTAAGGAAATGGTTAAAAAACTCAAAGTCTACAGAGACCAGGCATTTAAAAACCGAAAGGCCTGAGGAAAGCCCCCACTGAGGAGAGCAGAGGTATTTCAGCTCAAATACTTCAATCTATGGACAAATTTGAAAGGGTCAAATTGGTACCAGTTGTTCTTTTCCTTTAAGTAAAAAAAAAATAAATTAATTAAAAAATCTATAATATTTTATGACATCTTCCAATTTTGAAATGTTGACAACCAATTTTTGTAATGCTTTCTTCATCAAAATAAACAGGTCTTCAACCCTTGTGTTGGCTGATTGTTGTGTGTTTGTGTTTTTAAAGATATGTGGAGGTAATTTTTCTATGTAAATACTACATTGTTATCTTCAGCACCTGAAATCTATGATGTCAACACTACAGAAAACAAACTTTTCAATTGCATGGCAAGAATGAAATATTCCAGAGCAACAAGAGATCATGCACGTGACATATCCAGTTCGTATTTTAAAGAAGGAAGCTTAGTGTTCCTGAGTTTACCTGATAATGAAAAGGTGGATTAACTAGACATTATTAATGAGGTAATGATTACCTGTTCCTTTCTTGCAAGTATAGGTAAGATGGTAATTGCAGGGAACATCATTCCACTCGCCGTTCTCATGCCAAATGATGACAACACAATCTTCACCAGCAGAAAAGAAGCTGTCAGGCTGGTTGGGCCTCCAGTTCTCATATTGCTGCAAAAGTGGAGGGAGAAAATGACTACTTGATAGTAGTATATTATAAGCATGACAGTGGCATTGAGTCACAATCAAATTCAAATGGACTAAACAGTTTCAATTTAACCATCTAGCTAAAGTGATTTTGGTGGTAAAGAAAAAGAATTTTATACTTAAATGGATAATATATATATGTATCTCAATGTCTCTCTTCAACAATTATGTATTTTTCCCTTTGGCAAAGAGATATAGCTGAGGAATTTTATTCTACATTTCTAAATATATACCGTATTTTCCGGCGTATAAGACGACTTTTGAAACGAAAAAAAGTCAACCGAAAATCGGGGGTCATTCATTAAAAATTTAATTAAAAAAAGAACTGGTGTTTCCTCGGAAATGGGGAGTAGTCTTATACAGCGAATATAGGCCTAAACCTATGTTTTAACTGTAAAATTGGGGGGTCGTCTTATACGCCGGAAAATATGGTAATCAGTGCTCATTTTAATAACTTAATCATATTATTGTTGTTGTTAATTATAGCAGCATTAATGAAAGTGGAACAAATAAAAAGATCATAATCTCATCCCTCTGATCCATCGTTTCCCTCTACCTTTATGTGCACATAGAATTTATAGGATTGTGATTATAGTACAAATTTGTATTCTCTCTTTTCTATGTTACCACTATAAAGTACTTTTCTTTGTTTTTTTAAAAATGATTATTTTATCCAAATTCATTTATTTCGTTAAAAATTGAGACATTTGATGTATATATTTTACGTATTTACCTGCTATACCTATACACATCATTTTATATTCAAACTTTCTGAGTTACTCTGTTTTAGATGTGACCTTATGTGCACTATACAGTTGAGTTTTGCTTCATGATCTAATCTGGAAGTTCTTTTTCTCTTAATAGGAAACATTTATTACATGTATACATGTTGACAAGATAAGAATTTAAAAATATATCTTGCTATATGCCTGGCCAGAGTGGCTTAGTGATTAAGCATCGACCTATGAACCAGGAGGTCTTAGTTCAATTACCCAATCAGATTGTTGGCTCAATCTGATCCCCCATGTGGGGTATGCAGGAAGCAGCCAATCAATAATTTTCTCTCATCATTGATGTTTCCATCTCTCTCTCCCTCCCACTTCCTTTCTGAAATCAACAGAAAAATATATTTTAAAAATATATCTTGCTATAAATATATTTTGGGCTTTTTGTATAATGTATGTTCAGAAACTAATTGAAAATAAATGATTTGATGTTTTTCTACTGGGACCTTATATCTCTAACTTTAGATGGTATCTATTTTTTAAAATATATTTTATTGATTTTTTACAGAGAGGAAGAGAGAGGGATAGAGAGTTAGAAACATCGATGCGAGAGAATCCTCGATCAGCTGCCTCCTGCACACCCCCTACTAGGGATGTGCCCGCAACCAAGGCATATGCCCTTGACCAAAATAGAACCTGTGATCCTTCAGTCTGCAGGCCGACACTCTATCCACTTAGCCAAACCGGTTTTGGCAAGATGGTATCTATTGATTCTGAGCAATGATATATAACTGGAAATATATTTTGCCTTGATCATCATAATAAATGCAATTTATTCAGCAACTGTAATGAATGAAGCCCTCTTCTAGATACTTGTTATGCATTGTCTCTTTCAAAGACCTAACAGGATTGGGAGTAACTTCAACCATACAGATATTAAACATCTAGGACTTTTTGGTTTATGTTCAATTCTTTGTTACTTTAAAATACTGCCTCCACATCAACCAATAATTATATGAAAAACACAGCCCCTATCCCTATCCAAAAATAACAATGATGAGATGAAAATATTATTGGACTAAAAACAAGAGTTCACTTTGCTAGTCCTGAGTCTCCTAACTACCGTAGAATGTGGAATAGGACAATTTTGTTTGTTCAATGTCTTTCTCACTCAATGTATCACTTTCCCACTATGCTTTGCCACAAATCTAATGCTGACGACAAAATTGTCGGCAAACTTCCTTCCTGTGGTAGAAGTAGCTTTATGTATTTTTTTAAAATATATTTTATTGATTTTTTACAGAGAGGAAGGGAGAGAGATAGAGAGCTAGAAACGTCAATGAGAGAGAAACATCGACCAGCTGCCTCTTGCATACCCCCTACTGGGGATGTGCCCACAACCAATGTACATGCCCTTGACCGGAATCGAACTTGGGACCTTTCAGTCTGCAGACCAATGCTCTATCACTGAGCCAAACCGGCTTCGGCAGAAGTAGCTTTATGTAATAGTGGCTCACGTGACTATCTTTTCTGGGACTACAGTTCTGTTAGCCTTTCCTGGAATGAAATTTACATGAAATAAGTCTGTGATCTGAAACAATCAGTTAAGAGATATTATTTGAGAAAGTTAAAGTCAGAGAAGAAAGAACTGTACCTAAGAATTAAGGCAATTGTTCTCAATTCAGACCATGCCAAAAAATTTAAAAAAAATTTTTTAAAAAATGGTGCTACTATTTACTCCCAATGCACCATGGCTATGTTTATGTGTTTTAAAAATGCATAAATGGCAGAAACCGGTTTGGCTCAGTGGATAGACTGTCGGTCTGCAGACTGAAAGGTCCCAGGTTCGATTATGGTCAAGAGCATGTACATTGATTGCGGGCACATCCCTGGTAAGGGGTGTGCAGGAGGCAGCTGGTCGATGTTTCTCTCTAATTGATGTTTCTAGCTCTCTATCTCTCTCTCTTCCTCTCTGTGGAAAATCAATAAAATATATTTTTAAAAAATAAAAAAATAAAAATGCATAAATGTACTAGAGAATTCCTATATTTTTTATTTCTTCTCAGTTTTATTTAAAACTTTCATATATGCTATAAAGCTAAATCTTTGATAAAAGAATTAGTAAGAAGACTAAACTTTGAAAATCTCAAGATAAAGAGATCTACTTTTCCTTCCACCTCTTTGCTTAGCTTTGCTTTAAAGTTCTCCTGAGTCATGCCAAAATTAAGAAAGGAGATGAGAAATTTTGGCTTGATTGGTTGGTTGATTTTTAAGAGTCTTTGAAAAGTGGTAAAATAGCAAATAACCAAGGGAGGCTTAATATATTGTTATTTTTAGGTTTTGCCAGAACACAAAATGAAGGTGATTTTTATTTCTCTGGTGGAAACCAAAATCCAGAAATTAGATGGATTTATATCCAACTCTAGTAGACTTCATCAAACCCTGAGTTTCTCTCCAAGATGGCCCTGGGTAGGAAGCTCTGGCCAAATTCACCAAAGTACTCTGACTGGCAGGTCTCCCTTGCACCAGACCTTTGCTCTGAACTGGGTTTCTAATGATTTGCTTATTTTCCTTTTCTTTGCGGACTTCCCTTCCCTTATTATCTTTCACCCTCTACCCAACAACCCTTCTTCCCCCTACTCTCCTTTAATAAATAATAGACAAGGAGCAACAAAGAAGAGATATCAAAGTCATATTATATTAGTTATGCTGATGTATAACTAATTTGTCTTTAACAGGTTAATTAAGGTAGGATAAAAATAATAAACAAAAAAGTTGAAATGTCTTAAAAATAACAAAAATCTATGTTTAATACCTTTTATGATCAAAGATTCCAGACCATCTTAAATATTTAATTTAGATTTTGGAGCTCAATACTTTCTAGCTTACTTTTAATGAACCTCTTACAAGCAACTAGAAAATGTTCTCAGAGGTGGAAAATGTACATAATCCCAATAGTGTCTGTACAATGCTTCCCCTTCCTTTTCCGTACCAACCCACACTGCTCATCTCCCTTTCTTGCTTTATTTTTCTTCATAACACTTACAGTCTAACATCCCACATGATTTACTCTTTTATCTTATTCTTTTTCACTAGTAGATTATAAACTCATTGAGGACAGGAATTTAGAGTTCTTTTATTTCTATACTCTAGATGCCAAGAACTATGTTGGACACATACTGGTGTTGTTTAATAAATAATCTGACACTTATTGAAGGTGTTGCTTGCTGCTGGCTAATAATGGGTGAGACGGGCAATCCTAGATACAACAGATGGAAGTAAATAACTTCTCTGGAAAACAGCTGGCAATCCATATCAAAAGCCTCAAAGAGTTCCTACCTTGGACCCCATAATTCCACTTCTAAAATCCCATCCTAAAGTAATTGTAGCTGAGCAACACTTTGCCTAAAATACTATTTATACTACCAGTAAATGGGAAACAACCTGTAGAGTGAACACATATTCAATAAGTTGGGGTATAGCCAGACTAATGGAATATTGTATAACAATTAAATATCCTATCCTTGAAGAATATATAAAGGGATGGGATATACTAAAGTGTTAAGTTAAAATTCAAAAGAAAAACTCTAAAAACATACAATGATCCCAATTTTACACATACCTTCTGATGCAGCTGTGTGTGTGTGTGTGTGTGTGTGTGCACGCACGTGTGTGTCTTCTGATGCAGCTGTGTGTGTGTGTGCACGTGTGTGTCTTCTGATGCAGCTGTGTGTGTGTGTGTGTGCACGTGTGTGTGCGTGCGTGCGTGCGTGTGTGTGTGTGTGTGTGTGTGTATAAAAGGCCAAAAGAAAATGCCATAAGATGTTATAAAGTTTATACCTGGGTAATCTGAGATTGAAATTATATTTTATTTTTTTGTATCCTTACATACTTTCCTACTTCCCTAGAGTGAGCGTGAATTATGTTTCTAATAATTAAAAATAAGTATTGTGAAAGGGTCTCTGCAGCTATCAAAAAGAACTGACAGGTTCCTTAGCTAACCCTTTTTCAATCTAACCTCAACCAGTATCTTTTCACGTTACAGTCATTGGCTGCCCTGGGTTTTGCAGCTGACATTTCCTCCTGATCTGAACAACAACCATCTCATTTTCACACTGAAATGAGATTCAGATTCTAGGGTGCACGATGCCCAGACTCAGCCCTCTGGTAAAAGATTTAATTGTTTTTTGGTGGGAATTACATTTGGCTTGCAACAGTGATTTAAAACGTGTGTTCTGT